TAACTGTATATCTTTAATTGAATGAATGGCTTTTTTTTCCAGGGTTATTATATTCAAAATAAAGAAGAGAAAACAACATCATTTGTGGATAATATCACAAAAGATGCTGTTAAGAATGCGAACATTATGTTTGTTCCCATCATATATGAAAAACATTGGACGTTACTGGTTGCACACATGAAGAACAAAAGATAGGATTTTATGGATTCATTACCCAAAGCAACGCACAAGTCTATTACTACGGAAGTGGTATGAACTTAAGAATTATCTTTGGTTTAATATTTTTTATTGAAGATAATTGTAATAATTTTATTACCTTTCCAGATATCTCATTTATACCATGATGCAGAAGATGCTTTTGAGGATGATATAAGAACATGGCCGATCCAAACTATCCCAAATTTGCCAACACAAGAAAACAGTGTCGACTGTGGAATGTTTGTGTGTAAATATATGGAACAAGTTATACAAAAGAATGATACTGATTGGGACATCCATAAGAACTGGCAAAGTAATATGGCCTTACTTAGGACAGAATTTGCTTATGCCATTTTTTGTAGTACGATAAAATAAATTTATACTTTTGCATATGATATTTTTTGTGTTTTGTTTATTTTGATGTGATTATAACTTCCACTAATATCGAGTATGAAATGCTAGTATCGAATAATACCTTGTTATTCTGATATCTTGATCACACTTACATAAAGGATGACTGACTTCCTGATTCTGCAGGTGTAAAATAAATTGTTGGATTAGGATTATGCACGGTTGGTTTCACTTTTTTGGCCTTCCTCTTCTCCCAATGATCCTTTAATCTAGCATTTGAAACTCCCTTAGGCCGACGCTTTGCAGGATCTCTAATTGTTTTGTGGAGCCCTTCAGTGATAGATTTATTTCTTTTTCCTTCCAAAATGTTTTGAACATTTAATGCCAATGCACTCATACCATCTATCATACACTGTTCTGCATCCTCATTACCTTGAGCTTCACTGCTAATTTGATAAGCAAATCGGCAAACATAATTTCTAAAAATCATGTTTCGGGAACCTTGATTCAACGTGCACAAACTCGGTATTGTAAGCTGAACATAACATTTAATCCACTATAAAGATCGTTCCTAGCAGTTGCTGACCATCTTGGAATTAAATATTTCTGAGGTATATTACTAACATCCAACTGACTCATCACTCTCATGCAATGAGAACACAGGATTCCCATCATCTCGAACTTTCCGCAGCTGCACTTTATAGTTCCTTCAGCTGAACTAAACAAAACCGTCCACTTGTGTGAATCAAAAGTCTGGTCTATGTTTTTCACCGAAAATGTTGATGAGTCTGGTGACGAGTGATCAATGCGTAGTCCACCTAAACCATTCAAAAACTCCTCTTCAAAAAATGAATATAACTTTCTTGAATAAAATTTGGCTGCTTGGTTTAGTATCGGACTTCTTTTCATGTAAGGTTGTATCTTAGTTTGAGAACATTTAAAAATTTCATCTCGTTCATTCCTACGCCAACTGTTTATAAGTTTCTCCAATCCAAGGAAACATTCGGTTAGAGAACTTGTAGCCTTTGAAATACCATGGCAAACAAAATTTGTGGACTCACTACGTTGTGTAGACAATAATCCAAG